ATATCGTTTGAAAAACTAATTAGTACCATAAAAAAATGCAAAACATTTGAGCAGTAATTTATTACTATCACGCCACTTTTTTCTTTCTAATTTCAGTTTATTTACTGCTCGAAGGTAAAATGAATGCGAGGATGAATGTTTTGAAATTTATAAGTGACAGCATTTAAAAGCATTATTTTAATGTGCATCACTCATAATAATTCTAAACAATTATAATATTTCTAAATAATTTAAAAAAATAATTGTATTGATATTTTTTTTTCTGGCAATATCTCTTTTTACTGAAAAAGTAATTTCACATCATTTATTTATTTATTATTTTTCTTTGCATTCTTTTTGTTCATGTTTCTATCATTGTGTTAAATTGATACATGAAAAGAATGTTTGCGTCATCACTCAGGACAAATTAAAAGTGTTAAAAAGTTAGTTGTTATTTGATTAGGGAGCATATTAAAATTTCGACACTTCATTTGTCTTCTTTCTTTCTTTTTTTAAAAATCTTGTAATCTTGCAAATTTAATTAATTTAATATGATTACATTTTTGTTTTTTTCTGGTGAATTTGAGGTGTATAGAAATAAGAAAATAAATGCCAATAGTAAATATATTTATTCAAAAAATTAAAATATTGAATAATATTACTTCGCAACATTTTTCCACCTTTTTCATAGGCAATAAATGAGCATTAGCTGTTATTTGAAGCAGAAAATTTTACGCAAAGTTTCCAATTTTAGTATCGGAGAAGTAAACATCAAAAAGGAAGTTAATATTAAATCGTAGAGAAGAAGTATGGGATCAAAAAATATTTTGAGCAAGATTTTTACTACGTGATACATTAGAAAAATTATTATTTTTAAATGTTATTTGTCTTTGACGGCATTAAATTAATAAAAGAAGCAATAAAAACGGCAGTAATATTTAAGAGAAACTTGATAAAATATAAAAAAATTTATTGATAATTTAGATGAATTATTAGGTGATAACCTTTGAAATTTTAGCTTGATGAAGTGTAATAAAAATAATATAAAATGATAAACATTCCTTGCTCGATAATTCAAATAAATTAGTTATAGATCATAAATAATGATTCATTTTTGCAATCCGTCGAAGGTCAACTGCAATTTGATTTGGCGACGAAGCTTAAATCTGTACGACGTATTAATGGTATTGATTATCAGTGGCCTAAATTCAAGAATATTGTAACAATTACGGGTTTTCACTCAGACGAATGGAGTGCAGGACAATTCAATAGCAATTTGGAAACTGAAGTAATCAAATTTTGTATCGAAGTAATCGCTATTTTAGACTGTAAAATTCAAGTGATTTTAGCAATTATTTATAAAGATTCGAAAATTTTTCAAGCATTAATGAAAAAATAAATTATAACAATCAGCCATTTTTTTGAGCAAGAAATAAGCTTGTCCAATTTTTGCTGTAGCATTGAATAATTTGTGCTTTGGAATTTAATAAATTCCTGGTGATCTATTCCCGAATTCTGACATTTGTGGAAAAACTTTTTCCTATTTACTGCTTGGAAAAACGCATTTCGATTTCATTGAATTCTGAAGTGTTTTATCATTTTGCATTTGATCAGTTGTTATAGGAAATTTTATGAATGTATTTCAATATCAATAAATTATTTAATTTTAGATTTTTGAAAATATCGAAGTTTGATTGTAATAAAATTTTATATTTCTTTTGTAATAAACTCCTCTGTTTCGAAGTTGCAATATTGAAAATGCTATCTCATAATCAATTATTGATCGTTTTCTGAAATCTTTTGTATAAATTACAAAAATATTGATAAAATGCGACAATGATGTCTAATTCGTAGCCTATCTCGCTTAATGCCCATAATTTACTTATGATAACTTTCAGAAATTGGCTTTGATATGTTCCTACCAACAATGTCAACCAATAGCACAGAAATGCAGTCGAGTATTTCGACCAATTGGTCACTGTTGCGAAATATGCGGTAACTTTGAATATTGAAGCGAATTAAGTAGTTAAAATAATAATCAGAGGATGATAAATTTAAAGCAGATTGGCTATTATTTATTCAAAAGTTCCACTATGAATTTAGGAATAAGCCAAAAAGATCGATCTGTGAAGCATAATGAGCATTTTTCTTTTCTTAGAGATGCATGTTATAATTATTTCACTTCTTTCCCCATTTTTTTCTTCCATTTCAATCCCAAAAAAAGTGGGATTTTCGTTGAATTTAATTGCTTGGAAATTTAATGTTATGCGAAATTTTGGATATTTCTGGTAAAGTTTCAGAAATTTTCGGAAAAAATAAAGTCAAACATCTTATGACGAAATTCCTCAGGGATTTAAAATCAGGAAATTTATTGCAAGTATAATCATTTTTATTGCTACCACTCTCTGGAAAGAATTTCCTATGGGATTTAAAATCCACAAATTTCTTTATGGCATCATAATTTTTATTCCTAGGTTCTATGCTTCGTTTTCGCGCAACAAGCTTCAATTTTAATAAATTCCGAAAACAAATCGAAAATTATGAACAAAGAAATCGTATCATCATGGAATACGATTTAGATATTTCGAGTTTACGCATCGATCATAATGAATCTTTGCCACAATATCAGGTAAAATGAAGAATAAGAATGCTGAAATCAGAAAAAAATTTATGGCAAAATTCATTTTTATATATCATGTAGTCTAACTTTTATATAATTTCCAATTAAAAACTAAAATAATAATTTTTGTGGAAGTATTTTTTATAATTCTAAGAATTAACACAATAGATGTATAATTAATTTTGAAAAAATACAGGGTGTAATTACAGTACTAAATTTGCTACGAAATTTCCTAATCAGGAAAAAAAGATGCTTTTTATAATTTAGAATTTCAGAGTAGATATTATCTAAAAACTGGAATGGGTAATATATGAATTTATAATGTATATGGATTTATATTTGGCTAATATATGGGTCTATAGCATATCAACAAATTAATCGAATAATTAGCAATAAATAATAATCAAATACCATCCTGATTTCTCTATTTCCAATTTTAATTTCAATCTCTGTACAGCAATTTACTATTGAGATTGTTGTTCTTGCACGAGAGGGTGCAAAACGTCCATTCGATCAGCAAATCTACTATGCAGTGCTGAAAGATTTAGCCGAATTTGTGCAAAATAATTTCGGTAATGTTTGCTAAATTTAGATTTAAAAAATGAAAAAAAAATAGCAAAATTTGTTGCAAGTCACTTTGGTATACAATATCAACTAAATTCTCATACAGTTTTTAATTAGCAACAATTAATTGCGTAACACCAAAGATTTTTGACTATTCATAAAGTTCGTATATTTTATTTTATTCAAATAGCACAGACTGAAAATCAATCTAAGGAAAGCATATAAGGTTATCTTCAGATATTTTTTTTATCCATTTGTCAATTATTCTATTTGCAGTTTTTAGCAATATCAAATTTTTGCCATAAAAGATTAGTCTTTATCTTTAGTTGATAATATCAAAGCATAGATTTTATTGATTGATTTCTAAATTGAAAACCGTTAATTGGTTGCCTTATAGGAATTTTACATTCAATGACAATGACTGAAATTGAAGAGATTATTTCGGTGGATTTTTATAGCTTTATTAAAGGTTTTATCTTTTTTATATTTCATTAATATCTGTTCATCTTTTTTTTTGAAATATTGTAATTTCTCTTTAAAAGATAATCTGTTTAATTCTTTAAGTTTAATGACTTCAGGATTATGATAATATTCAAAATTTTTACTTATTGTCAGCTATTATTTCAGACGATCTTCTACTAACTCTCATTTTATTATTTACCATCGGCGCATTCAGTTTTGGAGTTATCTTGACAGTTAGACGAAAATTTAACTTTGCCAAGTAATTATTTACTTTGTTTATTATTTATCATCTAATTGTTTATTTGTTTTCGTCGATTGTTTATCTTTGAAGATATCCAATTACTAATAGTCTTTTCAATGATACGAAATTACTCATAGTCTTTTTAATGATGTGAAATTCCACTTTTAATATAAAAATTCCGCAAAGATTAATTTAAATTTAAATTTAAATATAAAAATTTGCAAAGAAAGTAAAACTGATGGGAAAAATAAATGAAATTCCAGTTTGCGAAGAGCAGCGAATCAGAATTCGGTCTATGAAGCAGTTCATTGGAGAGTTTCAAAAACTGGAGATGAGCTTGAGTTGCTACGTAATGATGAGCCAACCTTAAATACCGTTACAAACGATATTCAGGTTATTGAAATTGCGAACTTTAACCATAAATTTTGTAAAACTTTGCCATAAAAACAAATGGAGTATTAATATTAATAACGGGTAGGAAATAATTTAAAAAAAAGAATTGACCATGCTAGAAATGATCAATCATTATGGAACTGTTGAACTAAAAAATATTTTAATGATTTCAAATATTTGCTCGTTTCAGAATCATTCGATGAAGTCTACATTGGAGTGTAGTTCCACATTTGAAAATATTGCATTTGATGAAGAAATTGCAGATGATATTAATGAAAAATAGTTACATAAAAGTGTTAAAAAACTCTAAAATGTTCATTTCATACTTTCAAATTTCCTTTTTTTTTCCTGAAAAAACGTTTACAATTCATTTGTTCATTCTGAATAATTGTTAGCAGTAAATTGCAACTCGAAAAGTACACAAGCTTTGGTTCGGATTTTTCGGCATTTTACGGCAAAATATTGATAAACAAAAATTTGAATTAAATTTTCTGATGTAAAAAAAAGCATCTTTATGATATATCGATTTTTAAAACTTTATAACGTGATCCATAGAATGATTTTATTCGCTGTAAAAAATCTGTATCCGTTATACTATAAAATATTATTGGATCCTTTGCTATAAGCTCTCTCTGCTAACAACCTTAATTCCATGAATTTTAATATTTGCATTGAAAATAATAAAAATGTGATGCAAAAATATCGTCTCTTTTTATCACTGAAATTCAACAATGTTCAATGCAACACATTGGTTGTTTATTAGAATTTCAACAAAGTATTAGTAAAGAACAAAAATGAATACAATTGTAATTTAATTAATTATAAATATCCATCTGTATTTGATTTCATTTACAATATAATTAGATGGAATCAAATACAGATGAATATTTATATTTAATTAAATGATTAATTATGTAAAATTGATATTATATGAGCTTTTATTTGGACAAAAATTAATCGCTGAAAAGAAACAATAATTAATTGCATTAACCTTTACAATAATTGGTTATATTAACTTCACATCATATGAACTTTTATTTGAATTAAAACAATCACTGAACAGAAACAAACCCGTATCTCGGAACGAAATATTCATTCAATTTTCACTTTACAATTTGAAGAGAAATTAAACAACAACAAAAAAATGTTGTATATTTTGTTCAGGTTTCCAGAGAAGTCCTGATCATTCGCGCAAAAAAATTTTAATAATCATAATTTATTGCCCCTCAAGTAAAGTTTTCTAGGAAAACCATTAGTGTGTGAAATGAGAGCGGCTTAAATTTGCAGCGAAATTTGAAAATCAAATTAATAGAGGTAAGAGAAATTCAGGAAAAAAATTATAATCTGGCATATGAATTCACGAATAAAACATAAATTTCTAAGTTTTTCTCTAAAATTTTCCCATTAATAAATGCAAAAAAAAGGAAAATTCCTTTCTTTCATATATTTTTTTCGTCAAATCGACGAACTTAATGAAAACTGAATTGAGAAAAAACAAAAAATTCCGAAGATAAGACACCATGATGAAGTAAAAATATCAATGAAGGTGAATGTATTTCAGTGAAAAGATTAGATAATTGATAAAAATACATGGGAATTTCAGAAAATAATTTCTCAGTGAAAAATTTTATTAATTCTCTAATAAAACGTCGAGAAATAATAATGCAAAATTCGATAAGGAAAAAGGATTATTTCAAAACTTTCCACTTTTTTTGCTTTCCACTGTTTATAATATAATCAAATTTCAAATTTCTTTTCGTAATTTCTGCTTATTTAATTGAGTTAATTATATCTTAAAAATTTGATATTTACACATTTCGGTAGCGTTCATATGAATTATTTTCATGAACTGTTCATGCTTTTACCTTCATATGAATCCAATTTTTAAACTCAATTCTTCTTCCTTTGCTCTCTTTTTTTTTCTTCTATGACCAATTATCCATCATGCTTGATTTCAATCTAACATCTTATTTCTTCGCTTTCGGAACTTTTCGAAATTCTTCGGGTACTTCATCGAGAATACTATACCATGTACCAATCGGTTGACGATCCTGAACTGATAAGAAATGTGAATATCAGTTAAACATTTGCAATGTTTATTCTTAAAATATTCCATTCATATATTTTTACATATATGCACCTCTCGCTTTTTTTTGCCCAAAATATTTTACAACAATTCGATGATAAAAAAATGATTTCCCACTCAATAATTCCATAAATTTCACACTTTACAAGAAGTTTTAAAACTTCAACTACGAGATCAGAATTAAATTAGTTAGTGAATAAGAAGGTGAGTAAAATTTCATACCAAATCATCGCAAATCGGATTGATAGTTAAATCTTTGAAACAATCCATCCATTGTTTCCTACCTTCTGGCATTGGACTATTATTACCAATGATACAACAACCAAGTAGGTCATCATGACCGATCCTACAAAACTATTTACATAATTACATGAAGATTTAAAATGATAAATATGCAAATACCAACAATATATTGTCTTAAAAAATATTTAAGTTAAATTCACTTTATATACACTAGGAAAAAAACGACAATTATTAGCTATGATGAATAGTAATAATTTATCACAATGTTCTAAACTAGATCTTACCTATCCCAATCCATTACACGAACTAATAAACTAGTTCCTTCAATTTCATTCAAAGGAAGATCAAATTCCAGGCACTCGTGATACACGGGATTTAGATTGGCTCGTTTGATCGATGTTTTACGTGCTTTTACGCGACGTCGTTGATAAATTTGTTCGATTTTAACATAAGGATCTGAAAAGAAAATTGTAGCATTTCTTTCTAATTTGACAACAGTTGAAGCTGTTTTAATTATTAAACATTATTAAATACTGATTTTTTTTGGTTTTCACGAAAAATTAATTTCAATTTCCTTTCCAGAAGATAAACAAATCATTATTTTGCAAATCATATAATTCATAAAGCATAATTTAAATCAAAAAAAGATAACACAAAGGGGAAAAAAAACAGTTGAAGCTGAAACATTTTTTTACCAACGCTGAGATAATTCAACAAATTTTTACAAATCATATTTAGAAATGGTTCAAAACTTACTTTAACCTTATTACTTTTTCTAAATATTTTATCGAAAGAATCAAAAAAACGAATGCTTGCCTGAAGCACCCGTAATATCCATCGGTCTTAAATTGTATGCCTTCGAAACTGTAACGTAAAGTTTTCGATCGGCTATGGAATACAATAAATAAACCAATAAATCACCGAAATCATCCTTACCCTAAAAAAAATATTATAGTCTCAAGAAAAAAAAAAATTTAAAATACATAACGATCAGAAAATCAAACCGGTGTGCCGATAATTTGCATAGTATGTTCAGTCCACGTGCTCAATTGTGATTTTTCGAATAAATCACGCAAAATAACATTACCGACCAGACCATGTCGTGTAAAACGAACGAAATTATACACAGTAAACTGCAAAAAATTCATGAAAGATTCAGATATTTTTATTAAATATAGCATGGGAGAACTAATTATGATGTCAATTAATTAAAGGCGAATGAGAAAGAATAAAACAAAACATAACTTTGTGAAATGCATATTAAACTGTAAATGCAAAACTGAATCTTCATGAAAAAAATTTTAAGGAAGTGCTAATGAGAGTAATTGGTAATCGATAGGTTGATAATAATAGACTCATTAGTTAATTTCAATGAAGTGACTTAAACATGCATATGGATAATAACAAATTTTTTATCAATGATATTTAAAAAAAAAACAAAAAAAAAATCGCAGAATACATACTTGTAACATTCTACTAGATAAATTAGCATGACTGACATCAAACGAAAACATTTCATTGCATTCTGGATTGGAAGGATTCTTGAAAATACGAGTTTTATATTGATTCCGCCTTTCCGGTAACAGACACAGTTTCACATATGGTTCCGAATTCTAAAATTTTTATCGTAATTAAAACGAAAAAAAAATTTAAGATGAAAATTAGGATTATAATAATTTGTTTTATTATCTTAAATTTTTGCTAAAGTTTAAAAATTTACAGAATTTTTTTCAAAAAAAAAAAGATTTCAAATCTTACTTCAGCAGGAATACCATCAGCTCGAATAATGTGAACCATCAACACACGATGAATGAAATCATAACGAAGCGAAAATGTCAATGTACCTCTAACACAATACAAATCAGGTGATTTTTCAGAATATCCGGATTCACGATGTCTCACGGGACATTCATAACCTTTCTGAACCTGTATTTTTGAACTTTTAACAGAAACGATCAATCAATCTTACTGTTGTTAATTTGACTATATGTATTATTTCCATATCAAAGGTTAAACAATTGAAATATTTTTTTCTAATTTCTATATTTAAAAATCTATACAAAAAAAATTAAAAGGCTAGTAAGGGACAGATAAAAATCTGTAGATAACCTGAGAATTATCAGTTTGTTCGTTGCTCATAACTGTTGAATTAATTAGCAAACCATTATGTTTCGATTCCGTCATTTTATGCCACAATGATCTAACACTTGGAACACGATTAATTAGCATCTTCTTGTACGAACTGAAAGAAAATAAGCAGAATTATCAGTTGATAAAGACATCAAAGAATTCCGACGACCTTAAACTAAATTTTCCTATTTTTATATTTAAAAAATAAGCGAATTATACTATGTAAGCAATGGTATTATAACTAATTATTAGATATAAATTGATCTATAAACTTTTGCCTAACCAAAATTGAACCATATTCTTTTAGAAACAATTATAAAACTAATATGGAAAGTTCGAAATCAAAAAGATCAAATAATAATCGAAATAATAATTAAAATAAAAGGAAATAAAAAGAAATAAGCAAGTGTTATGACAGAAGAAAAAATGATTAAATGAATGAATAAATTCAGAAGACATTGACATCATCCGCCTATAACTGAAAAAAAAGCAATTTTTAACGATGTTAATTGGAATGAAATAAACACATTGGCATAGTATTGATGTTTCTGAAAGATATATTTGGATATTTTCGAATTCAAATGTGATATTGACAGCTGTGAATTAACGAGTCTTTTCATTCTTCTCATTTTCTCATTAATATTTTGGCAACAACTTTTAGCTTATAAAATAACTTTTTACATACTAAATTATGATCACATCAATATTTGACGGAAAAATTTATCTTTTATTCTCAAAGTTTTACATTATCCATTATAAAAACACTGAAAATATAAGCTTGTTACAAAAGAAGGCAACAAGTGATAAAAAAAAAAATGAAACGAAGAGGGAGGAAAAAAATTAATGCCTTATAGACAAAAAAAGCTTAATCAATACAGTTCGAATAGAATGAAATAATTAATATGAATTCAAATGGAGAATTGATAAAAACATTTTCTTTTTTTCATGAGATATCAGTTTATTTTGTTTTTTTATATTTTTGGTATTTAATTTTTATCCTTTTATCCTTTAGTATTCAATTTTTATCCTTGATATTTGTTTACCATTTTTAAGTGTTACTTAATAATAATTGTTTCTGATTGTTGTAAACACTTCTAAATTAAAAAAAAAAAAAAAACTTCCTTTGCATTGAAGAAAATTTCATTTAAGTATAATTCATTTAACGTTGGGCCTATTCCCATCTTTGATAATTTTATGTATGTAAAAATAACATTGGAAGAAATGTTTAATGCATTAAAATTGCAAAACAAACTTTTTTTTTGGAGTGAACAATTCTTGTGAGGAATCGATATCATCTTTATTATCAATTAACAATGAATGTTGTTGTTGTTGTTGTTGATAAAAATCGTACATTTCTGCAATATTTTTCACCATAAAATTTTTAAAAAAACAAAGAAAAAATATTAACATTTCCCAACATACCATTCTGTAAATTATTTCATACTTATATATGAAATATTAAATGATAAGCTTATTGACGCATAGCGTGATAAAGTTTAATTTATATTTTTTATACACTAACATTAATTGCTGTAATAGAAAATGTTTAAGTATGTGCAAAAGTCATGCATGCCAATCTACAACCATTAACATTAATTATTATAATCCATTAAAAATATTGATCAGTTGAAGTATTGAAGAGTGTGGATGAAATAAATGCAATTGATAAAGATCGGAATAAAATTGTGAAATACAGATATAACTATACAATTTCAAATTTCAGAAATAATAAAATTTAGCGAGAAACGGTTCTTTATGAAAAAGTCGCACTTTCGTAAACATATTATTTTGAAAAAGAAGAAGCAGTTAGTTTGTTTCTAGCAAAAAAAGCAGAATAAATTTTTCCCAATTTAAGCGACTCTGTTTGGTATGAAATGAAATCAGTAGATCGGAAGAAACAAAAAAGAAAGAAGGGGGACAAGATAGTTCAAACAATGATCGCAGATTTTTTTTTTTAAAATATTTTTTTCAGCAAAAAAAAGAGAAGATGAAAAAATTTATGCGCTTAAACTTCAGAGAAATCTTCATCTTATTAAGTAGTCTAATAATACTAGAAAGTTAGACTTGGCTACTTCACATGCATTGTATATTTTAGAAGTAAATTCAGAATTTCGCTTCAGAAACATTTCTTCTACATTAATCTTCATATTTTATTATCCAATTTTCCACAATTAAATATTAATCATCAAAAATGGATGTTAAAAAAAGATGAATGCATTGCAAATGCAATTTCAAAAAGAATAAATTTTGCAAAATAACATGAAAAATCCAAAAAAAGTGTTTTTAAAAATTTGATTGTAAAATTGAGAAAGTTTATTGTGCTAACAAGAGCAAGAATTTATCTAAGAGAAGTTTTAGAAAATACTTATTAAAATCCACGAAGTTCCTTCCGCTCACAATGAATTATTTTTGACGTCACATTCATGTTTCCAAAAAGAGACCTAAATTCTTGACATTAAAAAATTAATAGCATTTCCATTCACCAAGAACAACATCAAAAAATTAACACTTTGTTTACCGGATATTATTATAAAAGATAATTATTTTTAAGGAAGGTATAAGATATAAAATATTTATTAAAGATTTGTAATAAAGTTCATATCATTAATGCTTTTCAGCAAATTGAGAAAAAATTGAATGTTGTAATTTCATACGGTAAAGATCTTCTCCCTTCCTCTCTCCCTTCCTCTCTCCCTTCCTCTCTCCCTTCCTCTCTCCCTTCCTCTCTCCCTTCCTCTCTCCCTTCCTCTCTCCCTTCCTCTCTCCTTTCCTCTCTCCCTTCCTCTCTCCGTTCCTCTCTCCCTT